TCACTTCTGGAAGTCTGTTCTAGGCCTGGGAGACATGGAGGAGGTCTCCCAGGCCAAGAACGGCCCACAGGAAGTGCATGGATGTCACTTCTGGAAGTTTGTTCTAGGCCTGGGAAACGTGGAAGAGGTCTCCCAGGCCTAGAACAGCCCACAGGAAGTGCATGAATGTCACTTCTGGAAGTCCGTTCTAGGCCTGGGAGACATGGAGGAGGTCTCCCAGGCCTAAAATGGCCCACAGGAAGTGCATGGATGTCACTTCTGGAAGTTCGTTCTAGGCCTCCCAGGCCTGGAGTAGGCCTCCCAGGTCTAGAACAGCCCATAGGAACCGTTTTTATTGTTTGTGAGGTACCTAGTCTCATTGTGAGCAAGTAGGAGGCTATATGAATTTTATACATTAATAACATTTCTGCATTAGGCCGAGAGCTTGTGAAAGTCCTTCTCTTGGTTTTGCTGGGCTCAGACTACTTGCATAATTGCAACCTTTAATCGGAGTAGTCAGAATATCCTTTTCCCAGCTGCCACATTCCATTCAGGGGCAAGAAATCAAGAACCAAGGCTCTTCAAATAAAACAAGTTTATTCCATGAATCCTCTAAACAAGAATCTGAACTACTAATTGTTAAAGCAAATTAGCAGTAGATAAGAGCAAATGAAATTGAACTTAGATCTCTTGTGAGCATGAAGGGACTCCAAATTGATCATATGTTTGACTCCACCCTTGGACTCATCCTGGTCACCTCCTAGATCAACTTCTTTTATATCTCTCTTTTTATGACCCTGTAATTCCTTAATTTGGAGTAGAGTTAGGGCAACTGGATGGAACTGAGCATTTACTGGCTGGGTGCCCTTCCTGACACCTATACAGAGTTCACAGCAGGTATTTTTTTTTCTTTGTGGCCTAGGAGAGAAACATCTGTCACTACCTAGGAGTGAATTCTCAATTTTCCAAGTGGGAGGCAAGTGTCTTCACCACTAGGCCACCATGCCACTCTTAATGGATCAGTTCATTAGTACTGCTCTTATTCCCCTAGATTTTCTCTCTCCTCCTTAAACTTGCTGATTCCTTCTCTTTTTGAATAAATGAAGCAAGGCTATGGAAGTCTCAGCACTTAGATAACTCATTCTGAGTTGGGAGCAGAATGTACAAATGATACTATTTGCTTTGGTCCTTACAGGGTGACCCTTTTATAATGTCCCAAGACATACTTTGATCACCCCATCATTTCTAAAAAGAGGGCCACACCGATAAATGTTATGTTTACTTTTTTTTTTAACAGATGCTAATCCCACACTTACTTATCAGGTGCTCAAATATCCACCGAATTACACAAATGCAAAACTTAGCCATCTTTAAAAGTTTATCATCCTATTATTTTTCCCTTCTCCCGTAAACAAACTGCTGTGTTAAACTATTTGTCTTTTTACTGTAGTCTTTATTGTAGAGGCCGGTCAAAGATCCAGATAAAGCGATTTGATTTGATTTGCCCTTTGCTTTGTAATTAAGGACAATGTCCTTTAGCTGATCAGGATGGCATCACAATGGCTTTGGGCAATGGAGAATTCAAAGGAACACAGGTTTTTCCAGCTCCTGTTTCTTTCTTTTTTCTCCCCCCCCCCATGGCAAACTGTTTTGCATTCAGCCAGATTAAATATTCAACACCAAGATTGTCCTGGATGGAGGGACAATTCCCATTCAATCTTGATCAGCTCTTCACATCTTACAGAGTTTTGCATCTGGCACAGATGTCGACTATTAGCTTGATAAACAAGCCCTCGATAAACTTAAGTTGCCGCTGGGAAGAGAGGTACACCATGATCTGATGGAAAACACAGTAGGAGTTTTATCGTTTGTCCAGCTGCACTGCGTAGATACACAATGCTGGAATTCTCTCAGATAGTGTCCTCTGTCACCCCAGGAAAACTAGAAGCGAAACAACAAAAAGGGTTCAGTTTGAGGTTTTGGCTATTTTCTATTCACGCTGTGCTATAACCTCCTATTCCACAGTTAATTACTTTGTACTCGGTGAGATATAAAAGAAATGTCACCCAACTTAAAATATGAGAATGCTGTGAGAAAACATCCACTGCATGCTTGATCTGGCAATTCTGTACACTGTTCACCACGAAGACAAACGAGGGCTGATTACAAAACACTGCCGCACTGGCACCCATAATATAGATTTTTCTGTTTGCGGAAGTACTTTCGTCATCTGCTCCTCTCCGCGAGATTCTGAAGCTTACTTATGCTGAAGCAATGTTTGAAGATGAAGTTGAAAGCACTGTGCATAACAGATTGGAAGAGTTGTGCCGTGTGTCATATTTACCGGAGGCAGTTTGGGGTCGGGCTCAGTGATGGGATTCAAATATGTGAACAACCAGTTCTCTGGGTGGATGCCACTTCCGGAAGTCCGTTCTGGGCCTGGGCAACAAAAAATTAGCTACTGGTTCTGCTGATCTGGTGTGAACTGGCTGAATCCCACCACTGGTTGGGCTTGAAATAGGGAGACTGGGCTAGTCTTGTCTGGGGCATGACATCAGCTGAGTGGACTGGTTCTCTCTCAGCCCTAGGAAGGGAACAATGGCAATTACATCTGAAAAACCTTGCCCGGAAAACTAGTCCAAACAGTTTTCAGAAGTCAAAATCTAACTTGAAAGCTCAATAAATCCCTCATACATAGGTAACAAGGGTGTGTGATGTCTCAGTGGGGAAAAGACACTGAGTTTGTTAACCGGAAAGCTGGCCACCCATGTTTGAGAGCTAAGCACCGTGCGATGGGGTGAGTTCCCGTTACTTGCCTCAGCTCCCATTCAAAAGCATACACATGCGAGTAGATAAATAGGTACCATTTCGGTGGGAAGGTAAGAACAGCGTTCCATGAGCCTTTGGCCTATAGCCATGCTGGTCACGTGATCACAGAAAATGTCTTCAGACAATTGAATAACTCAGGCAAAGGTCCTGAAAAAGCTCTTTTGGGACAACCATGATCTGGATGACTGAGAATCTCCACAGACACTCTTCAGACAACGCTGGGTTCCTCTATTAGGAAATGGAGATGAGTACTGCCCCCTAGTGTTGGACACAGGAAAAGCTTTACCTTTACTCAGGGGTCTTCCAACTTGGCCCTTTTATGACTTGTGGACTTCAACTCCCAGAATTCCTCAGCTAGCGTGCCTGGCTGAGGAATTCTGGGAGTTGAAGTCCAGGGGTCTTCAAACCTGGCCCTTTTATGACTTGTGGACTTCAACTCCCAGAATTCCTCAGCCAGTGTCTGAGGAATTCTGGGAGTTGAAGTCCACAAGTCATAAAAGGGCCAGGTTTGAAGACCCCTGCCTTTACTTAAGTCGCAAAATTAGCAATCCTCAGTTCTTTTCATGAGTCTTTACTGAACGAGTAGACAACGGGAAAAGGGATTTCAGAGCGGAGATGCTATATTTATTCATGGATCTGTATGAAAGACAAAATATATCTTATTCTCCTCTATTAAATAAAGAAACATGGAAGTGTGGTGGTGAAGAAAATAACAATAAGAGCCTCCAATTTGGCTTTAATGCTTTCAAATGTTGGGTCTGTTAATGCCATAGTTTATCTTAATCCAGCTTTCATCACTGCTCATTCCTCACAGGAAATATGGTGGTTGAATCACATCATAACTATATCTGTAAATATACATGGTGTCTGGGTGATCTAGTTTCTCTCAGTCCTGGAAAAAATAATCTTTTCCTATGACAAGTATCTGAGTCCCTCCATATTATCGCTAGTAAATGGAGTTGATCCTTCCGGTCTACAGCAGACAGCAAATTTGCTGCTGTGTGCGTGAACATCTGTCAACTGAGACCATCTTGTGTGTTTGTTTATGACCAGATACCCAACAAGGACTTCAGAAATGAACAGTTCATGGAGTGATAAAACTGTTTCTGGGTTGTGCAGTTTCAGAGTCTGGTGGAGTGAGGTCGAGGACTGGATGATTAAAAAAAAAAAAATCTGTGCATAGATAGCTAATTAAACTAATTAGTTTAGAACTCTTCTCTCTTAGTTTTCTCTGGACTGGAAAGTTGATTAATCTACTCGTGAGTTGGTGAATATAACGTGTAATTATTGCAGGGTGAACTGGCTTCCTGGAACAAGGTTTTCCTTCCTTCCTTCCTTCCTTCCTTCCTTCCTTCCTTCCTTCCTTCCTTCCTTCCTTCCTTCCTCCTCCTCCTCTTCTTCTCCTCCTCCTCCTCCTCTTCTTCTATTCCTCCTCCTCCTCTTCTTCTTCTTCTTCTTCTTCTTCTCCTCCTCCTCTTCTCCCTCCTCCTTCTCCTCTTCTTCCTCCTCCTCCTCCCCTTTGAAACAAGCTGAGCAAATTTAAGGAACATGATTTCAGCATGTTTACTGTTTTCTTTTAAAGCAAGTCTGAAATCCAAACTATGTGAGCACTTTGCTTATATTGAAGTACAATTTTATTTTGTCCTATGCTGGTTTATTCAGGCAACTTATATAGCCTGAGGAAAGGTGTATTTAATGGAAGGAACCACTAAGAAAACTTTAAAAAATAAATAAATAAATAAATAAATAAGAGGTTCCATGACCCGAACAGTTCTGAACATCTCTGGTCTACAGAATAGGTGAGAGTGTATCAATTGTTAAGACGCAAAGGGATGGAAGTGGTCATGTGCAAACGGCAGCCATTCAAATCCTGCCTTAACAGAGCATTTAAGAGAAGTGTGTCGTGCCTCCATTGCACATCTTTGTGTAAACCTTCCTTGTTTGTTTCAGCAGGCAATTTGTGGACCAGCATCGCTTAATTGTGTATAGTCATATGCCGACATTTTCCAGGGAAATTAAAAAAAAAAAAAGTAGGAATCTGAAGATTAAGGGGGAATTGTTTTTGTCTTTTTTTCTTTCTTTCTTTCTTTATTGGATTTATTAATCATCCCACCTCTAGGGAAACGTGTTGCTCTGCAGGAGATTTGTCCAGTGTGCAACTAGATGTATTTTTTTTTCCTTCTCTTTCACAGACAGACAATTTTCCTGCAGAGTCCAATTACATGGGTAGCAGGCAACAGTTTGTCCAAAGGTAAGGCCCTGTTAAGTAACTTTCTTGGCTTCCCGATTTGCATTCCTGTCAAAATTCTTTGCCAGAGACTATAATTCAATTTAAGGGCCAAGTAAATACAAGTTTGACATGTTCTCTCTCTCTCTCCCTCTCTCTTTCTCTCCCCTCCCTCCCTCTCTCTCTTTCTCTCCTTCCCTCTTTCTCTCTCTTTCTCTCCCTCTCTCTTTCTCTCTCCCTCTCTCTCTTCTCTTCCTCTCTTTCTATCCCTCTCTCTCCTTGCCTCTCTTTCTCGCCCTCTCTGTTTCTCTCCCTCCCTCTCTTTCTCTCTCTCTTTCTCTCCCTCTTTCTCTCCCTCTCTCTTTCTCTTTCTCTCTCTCTCTTTCTCTTTTTCTCTCCCTCTCTTTCTCTCCCCCTCTCTCTTTCTTTTACTCTCTCTCTTTGTCTTTCTCTCCCTCTCTCTTCTCTCTCTCTTTCTCTCTCTCTCCCTCTTTCTGTCCCTCTCACTTTCCCTCCCTCTCTCCTCTCTCTCTTTCTCTCTTCCTCTCTCTCTTCTCTTCCTCTCTTTCTATCCCTCTCTCTCCTTGCCCCTCTTTCTCTCCCCCTCTCTGTTTCTCTCCCCCTCTCTTTCTCTCCCCCTCTTTCCCTCCCTCTCTTTCTCTCTTTCTCTCCCTCTCTCTCTTTCTCTCTCTCTCTTTCTCTTTTTCTCTCCCTCTCTTTCTCTCCCCTCTCTCTTTCTCTTACTCTCTCTTTGTCTTTCTCTCCCTCTCTCTCTCTCTTTTCTCTCTCTCTCTTTCTCTCTCTCTCCCTCTTTCTGTCCCTCTCTCACTTTCCCTCCCTCTCTCCTCTCTCTCTTTCTCTCCCCCCCTCTCTCTTTCTCTCTCTGCCTGTCTGTCTCTCGATGCACAAATGTCAGTAGCTCCACATTCAAGGATCCCGAACGAGCCAGCCTGAGAGACAGTGGGCACGGGGATAGCGACCAAGCAGACAGTGACCAAGATACTAACAAAGGCTCATGTTGTGACATGTCCGTGAGGGAGGCACTCAAGATGAAAACAACTTCAACCAAAAGCCAGCCGCTTGAACAAGGTGAGTGGAGAAACAAACCAGTGCTTGCAGTGTCTTTCAGATATCAACTTAGATATCTGAAATATTTCTGTCTTCCAGAAATATATATATATATATATATATATATATAGGTCTTTGGTTGTTCGGGTTTTCTCCCACGTAAAATTGGAAGTGTCTTGGCAACGTTTCGACGAAGTCCCATTCGTCATCTTCAGGCTGGTGTTTTCAGCTTCGTGCTTTGAGCAGCAATGAGCTGCTCAAAGCACGAAGCTGAAAACACCAGCCTGAAGATGACAAATGAGACTTCGTCGAAACGTTGCCAAGACACTTCCAATTTTACGCGGAAGAAAACCCGAACAACCAAAGACCTACAGACAACAAACACCCGCGAAAACCTCAGAAAACATATATATATATATATATGTATATATATATATATATATTCAAAGTTGTTGATGTGCTATGTGCGGGTGTGCTTTGAGATTGTGTGATCTACACACACAGATACACATGGAAATCTGTGCACTTGTGTCTTCGCTAATGTATATTATTTATTATTACAATCATGCAATGGGATGAAGGACGAATAGCTTATGGCTGGGATGGCCTACAAAGGAGTGGCTTCTATCGTGTGTTGAGGAGGGCATGTTTTTAATATGGCTGTTCAAAAATGAGAAGAGGAAAAACGTAAACGGGACATGCATGCAGAACTCAGCTCTTTGTATCCTGGTGTTTGTATCCTTCGATAAGCTCTTATTTTGCACAGCTGGTTCCAATTTTGCTTAGTGTCTTGGGAAGAGTCAGAACTGGTTTCACATGGCTAAGATGATGGTTTGCTCTGTCCTGGGCTGTGTCCTTCCCAACGATAATGCCGCACACCTCAGTGTTCGTTTGAGTCAAAGATGAATGATTGAAGGATCATTCACAAGAAAAATATATTATGGTTTGGAGAAGATGGGTTGATTACATTCAGAAGAAATATGAGATTGAAAAGTATTATCTTGCTTTTAAGTAGATTTTAGATAATTATTATTAGTTTTAATTATCTTATTATTTTTGACTTAATTTGTTAATACTTGTTGGGAGAAGGAGTTAAAGTGTGTTATGGTTTTGATTGAGAGTACAGTTGATTAATGTTAGTTAGATTATGTTTGTTTATTTCATTTTTTATCCTGTAATCAGCTCTGGAAAGTGGGGGAGGGGGGAAGGGGTGGGGGGGTTTATATTGTAATAAATTTATAAAACTTTTAAATAAAAAAAGATGAATGATTGAAAGGCTTGTACTACTAGCTAGTTTACTTATTTTGGAAAGAGTAAAGTGAACCTGTTCCACTCTTTTTTAGTTGTTATACTATCAAGCGGAGGGGCAGAGGCTAGATAAATACTTGTAATGAGAAAAAGGGTTCCTGTATATAATTTATGTTCCCATAAATTATGAAACAGTTGCTATAGGATAAAAATTATAGCCGTTTAAAACTTGGGTAAATTGTAAAAGTAACACCTTGACAAGTAACATACTCGAGTCTGGAACAAAGGTTACGATCAGGCGATTTAGATCTCACAAGTAATGGAAGATTTAATCTTGCTACTATGAAATTTCTTGTGTTTTTATCGCAGATTTAACTGGCACCCTTTCTATGTTCCATTGTGAAGTTTTTATATATTCTATTCTCACCGTTAGGTGTATGCATTCTGGACAGGATTTTGGACTGTTTTCTAGAAACAAATCAGGAAGGACATTATCCAGGTCCTCTGAGCTTGAATCTTATCTGTGTGAATTCAGTCTACATGCTTCAAGGTCGCCAAGCATAGCATAACATAGCATAGAAGAATGGAATGGAGTGGAGTGGAATAGAATAGAATAGAATAGAATAGAATAGAATAGAATAGAATAGAATAGAATAGAAATACAGAATAGAATAGAATAGAATAGAATAGAATAGAATAGAATAGCACAGCATAGCAAACTTTCATCTCATCCAGCAAATTTTGCTCCTTATAATTGACTTCCTGCACCCCCCTCCCTCCAAGTCTTTTTCCAAACCATGCCAAGATTTTTCCAAAACTTGGGCTCAAAACCCAATATTGTTCCGGTGGCACGGTGGTTAGAAGGCAGCATTGCAGGCGAACGCTGCCCACAGTCTGGAGTTCGATCCTGACCAGCTCAAGGTTGATTCAACCTTCCATCCTTCTGAGGTTGGCAAAATGAGCACCCAGATTGTTGGGGGCAAATTTGCAGACTCTGTAAGCCGCTTAGAGACAGCTGCAAGCCACTACGAAGACGTATATAAGTCTAAGTGCTACCTCTACTGCTTTTGCTTGGGACGATATGAAAGCCTTGATGAAGCCACCTTGGGTACAAGATACATGTACTCTGACTTATTTTTTAGATCCTCAATCTATATCCAATGAACAATAATAATAATCATCAGTTGTGGAGGTACCACTGAAGTAACTTTTTCACAAATTAACAATTCTCTATGACCTCCTTCTGCTTGTTTCACCATCCCCTCCTCAAACATTATGTTCTTAAGAATGTATTATTATTCGTAATTTACTTAGTAATGATCCACACTATCAAATTAATTGTTTGGCAAATAAACAGCACAGTGGTGCAGCAGTTAGAGTGCAGTCCTGCAGGCCACTTTAGCTGACTGTGTTCAGCAGGTCAGCGGTTCAAATCTCACCGGCTCCAGGTTGACTCAGCCTTCCATCCTTCCGGGGTAGGTAAAATGAGGACCCAGATTGTTGGGGGCAATGTAAATTATATATATATACATTGCTTACTGGTGTACACCGCTTAGAGAGTGCTTGCACTTAAAGCGGTATATAAGTCTCATAAATAAATAAATAAATAAATAAATAAATAAACTTGCAGAGGAACATGGACTGTTCCAGCAGGCTTTCATTCAACCTTTTTTTCAAAACCTGGATTGATGCTGCCTTGTGCTAGCTTCAAGTGCCGATTCATTTCCAAAGATACCCACCACTTCCTTTCCAGTGTCAGCTAAATTAAGTATACCAGCTGTGTCTGCCTCTACCACTATGTCTGGGGGGGAGGGGGGGTTGTGTAGGGTTGTGTGTTTTTCCTGTTCTCTTCCAAGCAAGGATGGGGAAAACAACTGCTTTTTTAAAAAAAAAAAAAAAAAATTGAGTTCACTTTCGCATCCCCGTTAGTCATTTCAGCTTGCTGGGTGCTGAATGACTCACCGTCCTTAGAATGATTTTTTTAAAAATTGATTAATTAAGCCTTGCTTAATGAGAAGCCTATATGTATAATTAAAGCAGAAATATATTTTAAGCTTTCTATTAATTGGTGATTAATTAGAACTAGGTTTTTTTTGGGGGGGGGGGTTTCCCTCCAGCACAGTGAGAACTGTAGCACATTTATCAGCCAATGCATAGCTGGCTTCCTTCGTGTGATCACGTCAGGAATGCAATATGTAGAGTATTTAAGATGTTCCTTTGACATTAGCTTTGAACAGGTTGCAGAGACAATCCCATGCTTTATTTCCTTTCCAAGTAATACATGCCAGAAAAGATATTCTCCCCCCATCCCCACCCCCAGCCTATCCCTGGCCCTTTCAAACAATGAATCTCTGTTTATAATTGGACAGCAATATAGAAACATGCAAGGTTATTCTGTGTTTTTCTTTGAAAGGCCTCTTTTAAAATATTGTATGCCCGCTTTGGATACCATAGAACAGGGGTAGGCAACCTTGGCTCTTTGATGACTCGTGGACTTCAACTCCCAGAATTCCTGAGCCAGCATGGTTCAGCTTGGAAACCTCTCCCTTTCCCCTCAGCATGAGTTGAAGTCCATGAGTCATGAAGCAGCCTAGGCCTAGGCTAGATGTAGGCCACCTTGGCTCTTTTATGACTCGTGGACAGGTTTCCAAGCTGAGCCATGCTGGCTCAGGAATTCTGGGAGTTGAAGTCCATGAGTCATCAAAGAGCCAAGGTTGCCTACCCCTGCCATAGAATATATGCAGCAAGATTTCCAACCTATTCTATATGATAAGAGTTGCACCCAGACAAAGCCTTCGTACCCATGAGAGAGAATTATATATATGAAAAAGTTTGATTGGCCATGAAGCATTCTACATTATTTTTTATTCCCCAATTTTCACCCCCTCTGAAATTGGAAGTCTGTTCTGGGCCTGGGCAACAACAACAACAACAAAAAATAGCTACCAGTTCTGCTGAACTGGTGTGAACCGGCTGAATCCCACCACTGCCCCTATATTTGCCAACAATTAGGGCATAAAATCCGCAGGGACTCCTCTTGAACTTAGTTCGGAATCCGTGGGAAGGCTTGTTTACATTTTACAGCAACATCCAAGCCTATTTTCATTTCACGCTGATGAAGAGAAAGGCTCAAGAATATCTGGTCTCCAGGAAACACTCTGTGTGTGTGTGTTTTTTTTTTCTTCTTTAAATAAAATAAAATAAAGGTGCTTTGATAAATCTTGGCAGACAGCCCAAAGCAGGGAAAGCGGATAGTTGGAAAAGGAAACATAATTATAGGGGTTTTGTGTAACAAGCAAGCATGCTCACTTTAAGTTATCTTCACTTACTGTAGGGAGCTTCTACCTACTCATTTATTAAAAAAAACAAAAACAAAAACCCTCATCTCTAGCTTATTTATGCGCTCTGATATGCTGGCTTTGTTAAGCAGCTTCCGTATGTTTATTAAACTTTAAGGGGGATTGTTCAGCTTGACATTTTCTTGTTGCCTTATTGGTAAATATTGCCCAAGAGACACCAAGAAAGAGACTTCAACTGGAAGAGGTGGGGGTTATTTCTTCCCCCCCCCTTTTTTTCTCTTATTATTTATTTACAGTTTTATGATATTTTTTTTTTTTTTTTACCGGTAAACCATCCAGCGTGACTTGGAGAATAAGATGGTTGGTGCCTACATTTGATGAATAAATTAAATAAATACATAACATTTGATTTACACGGCTGTCCATTTCACCGTAACTTTTCTTTGAGGTCTTTCCGAGATTAAGATGCCAGCCTTGAACAGTGTAAATAGTTACATTAAACTCTTATTCTCCATTGTAGTTCTAGGCAGCTAATAAAAATAG